TAGTATAGCCTCGAGCTGTCAATCATCCACACCTGTAGTATAGCCTCAAACTCCATGTGGATATTTAGCAATGTGACTATTAATTAGTTCAGCAGGTGTTTTCATTATGGATCAATCTGATTATTCATATATTGATGTATTGATCAAATAAATATCTGTATCAGTATGTGTATGAGCTGTACCACCAGGTTAACCTGCAGGTTTTACTCAGTAAGATGACAACATTTAAAAAACTGTTAATCAATTTCATAAATGTCATATAATCTAATACCAGAGAGAAGAAGTGGATCAGCTGATGGACATAACATTATTACAATCTAAACGATTCTAATAATCAATGAACTTTCTCCGTTTCTCTGTTTCACGGTGGTGCAAAGTAACTAAGTACATTTACTCAAATACTGTACTATTTTTAGCGTAGTTTTTAAATACATTACAAACTCTTTGTAAAAAACACAAATGTGTCTTTGTCTTGTAAACTTACACTTATATATAATATAGAAAAAATCTTTGTACACAACATCGCTAATACATTTTGAGACATTTCCCCACAACTTTTTAAGAGTACTGACGAGGCACAGTTATGTTCTAATATCTGATGGAGCAGATATAAGATATCACGTGATGAAGACCATGCTCTCTGGCTGAAAGCAACCTCTCAGCGGGTTTGATTCTGTGTTTGTTTGCAGGATGGACGCGTGCAGTAGGAACCCGAACCGCACGGCGCCGGTCGCTGACGATGACGGACTCCGGCGGGCCGACGCGCCGCTCTGCTCCCGGACCAACGGGTGGAGCTGGCCTCCGCACCCCTTCCAGCTGCTGGCCTGGCTGCTCTACGTCTACTTCGCCGTCACCGGCTTCGGCGTGTTCGTCCCACTGCTGCCCCCCCCACTGGATCCCTGCAGGCTACATCGTATCCTTTAGACCCGATGGACCCAGTGTTACTTATTGATTATGCTCATTGGTTTATTGGTTGTAGCCTTTAGTATCTTTAGATGATGCTAATATTTCACTGCTGTCAGACTACTACTACTACTACTACTACTGCTGCTGCTGCTGCTGCTGCTGCTGCCGCCACTACTACAACTACAACTATCGCTGATTCTGGATATGTGTAGATGATGCTAATGTGACTTGAATAAGCTTCCCCTATCGGTCCACTGATCATCCAGGGTTTTGTTGTGGTCCTGATGCTGAGCCTCAGTGTACTGGAATCACCTTCGTGTGTCACCTGTGCGTCCACCTGATGGCTGTGTCCGTGGACCCGGCCGACCACAACGTCAGAACCAAGAGCGACAGAGGTCCGGTGCCAGAGTTCGACCGCTCAAAACACGCCCACGTCATTGAGAACTGCCACTGCTACCTCTGCCAGGTGGACGTGTGAGTAGACTCTAGAATGTTTAGATGAATTAACATCAGTAATTACAGACACTTAAAAAGCTCCATTCAAATAGCATCGCTCATCAGCAGATGGCGTTTGAATGGAGACGTCACATGAGCCAGAAACCTAAAATGTTTTAATGAAACATCTATCTATGTAGATATGTAGGAGCCTGTGTGTCCTCCAGAGAGTTGGACAGACGTCATCCAGGTAGTCTCTGAAGGCAGTCTGTAGTAACATTTAGACAGTAGGGGGGTACTGGCCCTTTAAGAAGTGTTGGGTATCTCCATGTTTAATGCAGCTCACTTCCTCAGTGTAAATAATGAAAGTACTCACTGAGGTCTGTTGTGAGTCACTGTGATGGATCTGATCCTGAGCTGCAGTTAGAAACCAGGTCAGTGGTCTGGTTTCCCCCAAGAGGTCCTGGAGGAACTGGGTCACATGTAGACCTGCAGTCTGCTGACAGCGTCTGAGTTACTAACAGCTGTTACTACTACTAGTACTACTACTACAGTCAGAATACTACTACTACTACAGTCAGACTACTACTACTACAGTCAGAATACTACTACTACTACAGTCAGAATACTACTACTACTACAGTCAGACTACTACTACAGTCAGAATACTACTACTACTACAGTCAGACTACTACTACTACTACAGTCAGACTACTACTACTACTACAGTCAGACTACTACTACTACTACAGTCAGAATACTACTACTACAGTCGGACTACTACTACTACAGTCAGAATACTACTACTACAGTTAGACTACTACTACTACTACAGTCAGACTACTACTACAGTCAGAATACTACTACTACAGTTAGACTACTACTACTACAGTCAGAATACTACTACTACAGTTAGACTACTACTACTACTACAGTCAGACTACTACTACTACTACAGTCAGACTACTACTACAGTCAGAATACTACTGCTACTTTTTAATCCTCTGATTCACAAACTAAATGAAATATTCAAACAGAATATATTCATCACTTGAACAAAACCTTAATGTTGGTTAAATATTATGTTCTGTATGGATATATAGATTTATTTAGTTTGTTTTATTTGTAATATACTCTACATATATCTATATATTGATCCAGAGTGCGTCTCTGGTGTGGTTTCAGGGGTCCCAAGTCGAAGCATTGCAGTTCCTGTAACAAGTGTGTTTCTAACTTCGACCATCACTGTCGCTGGCTCAACAACTGTGTGGGCAGCAGGAACTACAGGTAAGTCTGTGTCTGACGTCAACAAATAACACGACTTCTCCTTCACAACATCAGGCTCGTCTCTCTCTTGGTAATGTAAAGGAAATTCAAATACTTGGACTTTCCACCATGATGGTAATACAACAAATAGAACGTTTAGTGTGCACATCTGTATTTGAATGTTATTTAAAATCAGTGTGTCCTTTTATTAAATATCTGATAATGTAAACTACAAAGATGGATGTCAGCTCCAGCTGATCATAACCCACAAACTTGTAAATACACAAGACATATGTATTCAGTAGTACTGTGTGTACTCAACAGTACTGTATGTACACAGCAGTTTCATGTGTACTGAGCAGAATTGTTTGTACTCAGCAGTAATGTGTGTACTCCGCTGTACTGTGTGTTCTCTGCAGTACTGTGTGTATTTAGCAGTATTGTGTACTGTGTGTCTCCTGCAGGTTGTTCCTCCACAGTGTGGTCTCGGCTCTGTTGGGGGTCTCTCTGGTTCTGGTCGTTGCCTTTTACGTCTTCATTGAGTTCTTTCTGGACCCGTCTAAACTCCGCTCTGACAAACACTTCCTGGGTAAGACCTGACCTCTGACCCCTGACCTCTGACCCAGCATGAGATCGATCTCCAGACAATCCTCAAAATATGCTTAAAACACACTGGAACCAATTTACTTTACATCTTGTTACATCTTTATAAAGTTCTGCTGCATTTTGAACAATAATAATAATAATAATAAAAACAACAATACATTATAATAATAAATGACAATAATTATACAAATGAACGATAATAATAGCAAAACTATTTATTATTTAACAATAGCAACATTGTGAGTCTGTTCTTTCTTACATGATAATTCCTGTATTGTTTTAATCAGGCTCCTGTTTTTCACTTCATTTTTCATGATGATAGAAATTCATCCCGATCAACTTATTGTCAGTGTCTTTTTGTGTGTGTGTGTGTGTGTGTGTAGTGAGGAACGAGACAGCCGTGTGGTTTGTCTTCCTGCCGGTGGCTCCGGTCCGGTCGGCTGCAGCAGTGATTCCCGGTCTTGCTGCCGTCACCGTCGCTCTGGGTCTGCTGTCGTCTGTGCTGCTCTGCCACCTGCTCTGCTTCCACCTCTACCTGAGTAAGACACCACAGACACACACCTGTCTGTCTGTCTGTGTGGCGGTGACATCATCACTGTGTGTGTGTTACAGTGTGGAACCGACTCAGCACCTTTGAGTACATCGTGCGTCAGCGTCACCGTCACCGTCAGGACGGCAGAGACTCCAGGAAACCAGGATCAGTGAAGGAGCCGTCGCTCCACCTCATCAAGGTAACTGAGGCTCCGCTGGTGGCCATGTTGGCTCTGATGTGACCCGACACACCCACTCTCACACCCACACAACTAACTGGTGTAAATATGAAAACTCTCTCTCTCTCTCTGACTGTAGGGGGCGACATCAACACAGGATGAACCTTTACATCCTCTTTTAAATGTAACTCCTCATTCAGGACGTTGTAACCATGGTGACATGGCAGGATATTATGGTCTAGTAGAGTATTGATTAGTCATGTGACTACAAAGGACACAAAACGACATCATCGTCAACCGTTGCCTTAAAAATATAGACTTATTCAGGGTTTGACATTAAAAAAGCTCGGCTACTTGATTGATAGACAAACTTATCAGAAATGTAAAGAAATGAGAAAATACAGGACTAATGTATCGATAAATAATAAATAACATAAACAGAAAACGTTACTGTCTAGAGTGGTTATTTTCATAGAAACACACGATTTAAATGATAACGGAAGAAGGAAGGAAGGAGGATGTTATAATTTACCTTCAGCAGTACTGATTTTCATAATGTAACTGAAGTGAACCTCCTCTTGTTAGCTGTTAGCTTCGTTATTAGCATGACTGTGCAGCTGAAATACAAAAACACACAATAACTCTTAATTACAGTAAATATGTGTTCTGGTCTGACCCCCCTCAGGACGTGAACTACTCGGGGACTCTGGGCTACACCAACCCTCAGCAGGACGTGGAGGAACCGAACATTGTGTCTGTGCAGGGGGAGGCAGAGTGAGTGCTTCTGGTTCTCTGGTTCTGGTTGTGGTTCTGGTACTCTGGTTCTGGTTCTGGTCCTGTAGACACGCCTCGCTGCCATTGATCCCGACGCCTTTTTAGTAAACACTTCATTTCATAACACAATAGATAGCCATGGAAACACCAAAAAACAAAGTGTGCAAAAGGAGAATTCTTTTGGCCGTGACCTCCGGGAAGCAAACAAAGTGTGTGCGTTGTGTGTGTATGTGTGTGCGTGTGTATTGTGTGTGTGTGTGTGTGTGTGTTTGCCTTCATAAATAACTCCACTCTCTGAACCTTCGTCTGTTGGGAGTGACTTTATTTATACTGGAGCTCTCAGAGCACTGAGTCCAGCAGGACAGACAAAGAGATGAGACTGTGCTGTGATTGGCTGGTACTACTGTAGCTACACTGGTCCAACAAAAATGGCGACGCTTCGTACTGATGTCTTGATGAACTTTATTTGCCGTTCTCTCTCTCTCTTCCTCTCGCTCTCTCCACCTCAGACACCTCAGACACCGTGAAAACTACAAACAAAACATAAACATTTGTACGTAAATTGCGAGCTCTTGTGGAGTCTCTCAAGCAAATGTCCATTGACAAACGGACATTTGCTAGTACAAGTTGCTAGCACATATTAGCACATTAATAATGACATAAACTACAAATTACAATCTCAAAAAATGCAACACATTTAAATGTAAAGGCAGGTCAACAACAATACACACAAATACGTATATGTACAAATGAACACTTTACCATGTGCACCTCTTGGACCACATGCAGAATCTGTTTAACCTGGGGTGCTTTACTCCGCTTAGCTTCTGCGCGAGCAAACGACCCACAATGCCACGGTCACATGCCCATGCCAACTCTGGGTGTGGCCTGTTACTTAGCGACATACAGTACATGACGAAATACGATACATTGAGGCACCACATACGGTACCATATAAACTCAAAAGAATAAACAATTACACATGTCTCCTTGACAGTTACAACTACTCTGCTGTGATTGGCTGGTACTACTGTGCTGTGATTGGCTGGTCAGCAGGACAAGTAGTCAGGGTGTTGTACTTGTACCAAAATGTAGGCTTATTAAAAAATAAATAAAATCAGGGATTTGTACTAAAAACAAACAAACGTCATATTCTAAATGTCATCTTTTTAGTTATTGTCATATTTAGTGATTGTTTACATAAAAAAACAATTCTAATGTTAAAAAATTAAAGATTGTATTTTTATTTAAATATTTGCTTTTGTTAAATTACCATTATGTCACATTATTTATTAACTTTAGAGCTCCAACGATTAATCGATCAATAGGAAAATAATTGTCTTAGTAACACCTGTGTGTGTGTGTGTGTGTGTGTGTGTGTGTGTGTGTGTGTGTGTGTCAGGTTCCTGTCTAATGGCAGAGTGAGGACCGTGTCCAGTCCTGTCATGGAGGAAGAAGCTCCGCCCACAACGTCTACTGAGCTGAAAGCAGCAGAACACACACACCGACGCACACAGGTAAACACACACAAACACAAACAGGTACACACACACAGAGGTAAACACACACACACACACA